CTCCAATCTACTAGCGGTGGCCTCCAACCTAGAAGAGATGGCCTCCAACCTAGAAGGAATGGCCTCCAACCTAGAAGAGATGGAGTGCAATCTACTAGCGATGGCCTCCAACCTAGAAGGAATGGCCTCCAACCTAGAAGAGATGGCCTGCAATCTACTAGCGACGGCCTCCAACCTAAAAGGAATGGCCTAAAATAGTGCTTTAAGAGTGAAAGAGATGATTCTTGAATCTATTTGAGTTTCTTTTCATTTCACTCCATGTTGTTTTCATGTTCCTTTCGGTTTCCTTTCTTTGCTCTTCAAAACATCGACCAAAGTCAAGGGAAATAAAAGGAACCAGCCACTGACTGGTGATTCTAAGTTTGCCTACTGTTTTTGAAAACACGCAAGTTTTGCCCAGAGGCATTCCAAAATCCAAAGCCCCAGTCGCACTTGTTTGCAAATGATGGTTGTGTTGCACTGCTTCTAAGTTGTTTGGGCCGCTGAAAAAATGAGTGTTTTTTACTGTTTTTCAAAACACCCCTAGAACTTAGAATGCGTTTTATAGCCAAAATCTATATATCAAAAATGATTTTTAGGAGGTTTTTTTTGAAACGGAATGGCACAAAAGTCATTCTTAGTTTCGGGCCGTCGTTATATGGGGGTTGTTCAAAAGTCCTTTCATTTTTTCCAGGCCTTTCGCAGGACCTTCGCGAAGTTTTCGCAAGCTTTCGCGCGTGGGGTTTTACCACTGTCGGCGAAAATTGTTTTTCGTTGGGGCTAGAGGCTTTCAAGGATTCACGCAGTTGCCCTGGCACGTCTTGTGTCCTCTGATCACTGACACATTGCTAAGGAACAGGAAGCCAGCCAACCAAAACATTTTCATGTTGGTGTGTTTTTGGTTGGGCCCAACCCTCCATGAACAAGAGACGGCTCAGTCAGGCCAGTTTGCTCAGACTTCCAATTTGCTTTTTCCCGGGCCGGGAAAAAGCGAAATGGTTCAGACTTCCATTTTGCTTTTTACCGGGCCAGGAAAAAAAGCAAAATGGTTCAGACTTGCAATTTGCTTTTTCCCGGGCCGGCAAAGAGCAAAATGGCCAGACTCCCGGGAAAAAGCAACTTGGTTCAGACTTCGAATTTGCTTTTTCCCAACCCGGGAAATAGCAAAAATGGTTCAGACTTCCAATTTGCTTTTTCCCGGGCCGGGAAAAAGCAAAATGGCCAGACTTCCAATTTGCTTTCCCGGCCCGGGAAAAAGCAAAATGGTTCAGACTTCGAATTTGCTTTTTCCCACCCCGGGAAAAAGCAAAATGGTTCAGACTTCCATTTTGCTATTTCCCGGGCCAGGAAAAAAGCAAAATGGTTCAGACTTCCAATTTGCTTTTTCCCGGGCCGGCAAAAAGCAAAATGCATCAGCCTTCCAATTTGGGCCTGGAAACAAGCAGCGCCTGTGAGGCTCGAGCCTACGACCTTCTGCTTATGAGCCTGGCGCCTTATCCATTAGGCGGCTCTCTGAAAAAATTGCTGTTTTTAGGCTTTCCAAAAGAGAGCTGGATGTCCAAACTCAAACTTCCACATCCAATTTGCTTTTTCCCGGACCGGAAAAAAGCAAATTGGAAGTCTGAACCATTTTGCTTTTTCCCGGCCCGGGAAAAAGCCAATTGGAAGTCTGAGCCTTTTGCTTTTTCCAGGCCCGGAAAAAGCAAATTGGGTGTCTGAGCCGTTTTGCTTTTTCCCCGCCCGGGAAACAGCAAATTGGAAGTCTGAGCCAGCCCTGGAAAAAGCAAATTGGAAGTCTGAGGTGGGGTGGGGTTTGGCCCTGTCATCTTTCGCGTCCACAATGCGAACCTTTCGCCATACTTGCGCAGTTTCCAACGACAAAGAATTTTCCAAGGGTCGGGAAAAGCAATTGGAAATGTATCAGACTTCCAATTTGCTTTTTCCTGGGCCCGGGAAAAAGCAAAAGGCTCAGACTTCCAATTTGCTTTTTCCCAGGCCGGGAAAAAGCAAAATGGTTCAGACTTTCTATTTGCTTTTTCTCGGGCAGACTTCCAATTTGCTTTTTCCCGGGCCTGGAAAAAGCAAAAGGCTCAGACTTCCTATTTGTCTTTTTCCCGGGCCTGGAAAAAGCAAAAGGCTCAGACTTCCTATTTGTCTTTTTCCCGGGCCGGGAAAAAACAAAAGGCTCAGACTTCCAATTTGCTTTTTCCCGGGCCGGGAAAAAGCAAAATGGTTCAAACTTCCACTTTGCTTCTTTCCGGGCCGGGAAAAAGCAAAATGGTTCAGACTTCCAATTTGCTTTTTACCGGGCCGGGAAAAAGCAAAATGGTTCAGACTCAAAATGGTTCAGACTTCCAATTTGCTTTTTCCCGGGCTGGGAAAAAGCAAAATGGTCAAGACTTCCAACCAAGCCATTTTCATTTTGCTGGCTGTGTTTTTGGTTGGGCCCAACCCTCCATGAACAAGAGACGGCTCAGTCAGGCCAGTTTGCTCAGACTTCCAATTTGCTTTTTCCGGGCCCGGGAAAAAGCAAAATGGTCTAGACTTTCAATTTGTCTGGTCAAGACTTCCAACCAAGCCATTTTCATTTTGGTGTGTTTTTGGTTGGGCGCAGCCCTCCATGAACAAGAGACGGCTCAGTCAGGCCAGGTTGCTCAGACTTCCAATTTGCTTTTTCCCGGCCCGAGAAAAAGCAAAATGGTCTAGACTTTCAATTTGCTTTTTCCCAGGCTGGGAAAAAGCAAAGTGGTCAAGACTTCCAACCAAGCCATTTTGATTTTGCTGTGTTTTTGGTTGGGCCCAACCCTCCATGAACAAGAGACGGCTCAGTCAGGCCAGTTTGCTCAGACTTGCAATTTGCCTTTTCCCGGGCCGGGAAAAGCAAAATGGTTCGGACTTCCAATTTGTTTTTTCCCATGCCTGGAAAAAGCAAAAGGCTCAGACTTCCAATTTGCTTTTTCCCGGGCCGGGAAAAAGCAAAATGGTTCAGATTTCCAATTTGCTTTTTCCCAACCCGGGAAAAAGCAATCGGAAGTCTGAAGAGCAATTGTTCTTGCAGCGTGGCCAGGTCACCAACATGACTTGCGCAGACCTTTCGCAGGACCTTCGCGAACCTTTCGCGACTGCAGTGAGAGCACAATCGAAATCAGCCTTTGAAATTCGATTACTAACAAGGAAGAGGTGGGTTTTTGAACGACGCTCATATACATACATATTGACGTGCTGATGAAAAGCATCATTGATATCTAATTGTCAGCAGCAAATTAAGTTAATCCATCCGAAATCGAATCGGAATACAATGTTCATTTTATGAATAGCCCTGAGTGACTCAGTGGGAGAAACACCGCAATCTGCACCGTCCACGTCCCGTCATCTCTTCGCTTGCCTTGCCTGCATTCAGCTGCACACAGCAGCTATGCCTCGCAGCGAAGGCCAACTGCAAACAATCGTTGGCAGCCCAAGCCAGTCAATGAGAACAGTACAAATCCGGCATGCAAGAGCAGTGCATGTGAACACAGTCCAGTGAGCTCAAGTATGCTCAAGCGCAGCTGCCATCAGTGAGAAGATTAGCAAACATGCTTGGATCATTTCTGCCCCGAATCGAGCAGCCATCACAATGTTGAGGTTTCATCATGCAGCCCAAGGCTTCACCAACTCCAACCAAGGGCACAGACCAGCCACACTCCAGGGGTACTGATCGCAATCCGACAAGCGGGCGACAACAAACTGAGTGGCTAAGAGCACAGTGTCAAGAAGCTGCCTTGCTATTTGCTGGCACCCCTCATAAAGTAGTAATCTTCCGGGCTTTGGGATGGAAAAGCTCTAGATTTGTTAATTTTCAAGGGTTCCATTTTGAACCACTTTTTATCACTTTTTCCTACTCAGTCCATCCCTTAAGGGGATCCGGTTTCTCCCTGTGTTTTGGCGCAAAATCTGCGTCCATGGCACTGTGAAAACTTGGGCCTATTGTGACGACCGATCTCTTCGTTGCTCGAAACATATTCAGGATTTGCACAATGCCCTGGCAACCACTCGTCGATTCGATGACTTAGTTGGTTTTCAAGAAAACCTCTGGAAACGCCAGATCTGGGAAAAATGCCGACTCTGTTGAGCACCTGGGGCTCCGGGTTGCCCCGGCCTCTTCGGCACTGCCCACGCTGAGGGACGGTTGGAGTTCCATTTTTGATTTGTTCCCCTTCCTCACCAAAGTACCCGGTGGGTTGTCCATCCGTGAATCCGCTGCGCGTGTGTTCTTCAAAGACAAGTAGACTTGGTCTGTCCCGTTGATTCAACCTCCACCCCAAAGCTTCGTGCTTAAACTTTTCCACCAACTGTTGGACAATTCAAAAGTTTTTGGTGGTGCAAAAGTCGTTTTTGGGCCGACCGCATTGACCTTCATCCCATTCAAGGGCTAGCTTGCGAGGCCGTTGTCGGCTAACCGTTTTGCCTGTCCAGTTTCCCCTCCCATCGAAGGGGCGGTATCTCACTTTTTGAATATCCAAGGTTTAAGGATGGTCGATTGGAACTTGGAAGGTCTTTTCTTCTCGACCTCCGCTAGTACTCCGGGTTTGTGGCGCATCTTGCAGCCTTACGCAAACTCTCCTTCGACTTGCCGCTAGATTTCAAATTCTCAGTAAGATCCCCCTTTCACGTTTCGATTCTGAAGGGTTCACTGATATTGACCTTGACGCTTCCTCCCATCCATTGTGGACTTTGTGGAGGAGAAACCTCTCTCAACCTAAACGTCATGTGTTGTCCATTTTTAGAGCTGGGGCGATTGCCACCCCTACCCGTACGCGCACTGCTTACCGCCGCAGTGGGCACTCCTGCAGTTGTCAGTATTGTGATGAGCAGTTTGCTTCTATGAGGCACTTTTGGGCTTTCTATGTTGGTGGTGGGCCCGCCAGCCTAGGGTCACTGCTAAATCAGGTTGGGTGGTTTGGTCCGCGGCGGCTACCCCCAAACAACGTGCTCAATGCCAGATCGCTGCTTGCAAACTCGCTTTTGAGATTAACCTAAAAGTTTTCCCGTTGATCAGGCACCTCGTGTAATCTGGCCTCTTTCGCCCCTTTGGTGCAGTTTCAAGCTAAAAGTTGGTTGCCCAGTAACCCCCTTTTCACTCGTTGTCTGCTTTTTTGCAACCTCTTTTTGTAATGCAGCTTTGTGCTGCGTGCGGGAAAGTCTTCTTTTCGAGGAATGCACCTAACCACCTACGGGCATAGGTTGGTGCATACAACTGTGTGTCAAGAAGCCTCGGTTGCAACCAAGGACGGCAGGATCTCTGCGGGCCTTGACCTAAGGTTGAACAGCAGCGAGATGGTACGATGGTGCTGTACGGTCTTGCAAATGCGTGCGATGGAGGAAACTATATTCAAAGGACCAAAGCTATTCACGGAAAATGTTGTGCTGGACAATATGTGCAGTGATGTCCTTGTTGCTTTGCTGTTTGTCAAAAATAGTAGAATGTACGAGTACAGGATCAAATCCCAATCAATTGTTCAGGCCAGGTGGCAACCAGCGAAGGCACTCCATCCCTGACAAATCAAGCGAGTGACAATGTAAAAACAAAAGGAGTGTTGACTTGCGTGTTCAAATTTCAATGGCTTTTGGGAGTACAAGCAGCCACAAAAGCTTGGTCCTACAATTGTGGCCAACCGGCAAAGGTCTGGTCTGCCTTGAAGAGTGCAAACAGGAGCAGCGCCTGCACCTCATGTGGAGGGTTGATTCTCAAGGATTTGGAGTGAAGAAAACCATATAAAACCATAGAACAGCAATGTGGCTCTCCTATATCGTCCTATTGCTTTGAATACGGAAAAGGGTCAAGTCTCAAAAGCGTGAAGATTCGCGCAGCATTTTCTCAAACGACTTGATTTGCTTATTATTCTTCTTCTTCTTCAGTAGCTTTCTCAAACCATTTCACTCCTGATCCTGGAAGTACTCTCGCTTGCCATCGAAGTCTGGTCTCATGGTCTTGTCACCGGGCTGCCAACCCGCTGGGCAAACCTCATCGGGGTTTTGCTGAACATATTGGATTGCATCAAGGACTCGCAGAACCTCATCGACGTTTCGACCAAAGGCCATGTTGTTCACTGTGGCATGTTGCACGATTCCTTCCTTGTCAATGATGAAAAGCGCTCGATAAGCGGCTCCATCAGGACTAAGGACACCATACTCCTTTGCTAAGCTTCGATGAAAGTCGGAGATCAAGGGATATTCGAGGCCTCCAAGTCCACCCTCATCACGGGACATTTGGATCCATGCCAAATGAGAATACTCGCTATCCACAGAGACTCCTAAGACCTGCGTCTTCCTTTTTTCGAACTCCTCGAAGCGGTCCGAAAAGGCTATGATCTCGGTTGGACACACAAATGTAAAATCCAAGGGGTAGAAAAAAAGCACCAAATAGCGATCACCCACATATTCTGCAATGTTCATATTCTCAATGTCTTCATCGATGATTCCCTTGAATTTCTCGTCCGCATTGTAGAACGGGGCTGGGCTGCCAACTAGTGTAGCCTGCCGGGCCACCAAAGAAGCCTGCTTCGTCCCACTTAGGGCCCAATGGGACCCTCTGCTCGTGGGGTTGGTAGGTCTAGAAGTAGGTGACCATAGCGCCACAAAGCTTCGTTCAAGGCAAACGCCAAAGCAAATGCCGACCAGCACCAGCGGAACTGCTCTTAGCCTTTCAGGCTTTCCCATTGGAAATTCAGCGCTGCGAATTCAGCGCTGGCTCAGCTCTAAGCCAAACATGGCAGCACAAGTGCAAGGACGAACTCCTGAATGATAACAAACTGTTACTATAGAATACTATAGAGTCAAATACAAGAAGAAGCTGTCAAATTCATTAGTGCAATGCGTGGAGTTTCAAACAAACCACAAACAAGCTACTTATTGGTCGAAACCAAGTATGCTTTCAGTGTCGCTTGGCTGCTTGGCATTCCATTGCAAGTTCCACAAAGGCCAAAGCCTTGAACAATGCTTTTTGCTCCACCCACCTCAGTTAGCAATAGGTGGATTTGGTGTACTGCCACATAAAAAATCATTGCACTGAGCTAAAGCATCTAAGCTTTCAACGTCCCTTTTCTAAGGCCTCTTCCACATGGGCTCTTGGAGCTTGCAAACATACACATGCTGAGCATATGCTGAGGTTCTTGAGATGGAGAAATCTACACATTGTTGAGGTGCTGGAGATGGACTATATGGAGTCCACATGACATGAGTACACATCTTGGCTGTGCTTGGGGCTGTGCTTGGGGCTGTTGGTGTCTACATCCATCCTTTTCGCCCTTTCTCGCCTCAACAAAACAAAACAATAGATTCAAACGTTGTTTGGGGTTCCGTTGACACTGTTCCAATGTGTATGCTCACCACTCAAATTGATAATTGTTCCTGCATCACTTGCTCTTGCTGGATTTGTTCAAAGCTTGTGGAAGGCAGTGCGCATGATGCATTCCATGCCCCATTGATCCAGCACTGGTTATAGTGAATGCAACTGAACGCAAAATGTAATTATCCTTTTCACCAATGGCCATGGTGGGACAATCACATGACATGAAGTTGACATCTACCGGGAGCCTATGCCAAACTTCTACAGTTTGGAAAACAGTACTTCAAGCATTTGTGGCAGTATGTCTGTATATAAACGAAACACAAAACTTTATATCTCCCTTGAACAATTCTTGAGTACTCTTGGGCTTGAACATTCAAGCACGCGAGGCCCTTTTGTATGCGAAACTGCGTGTCGTTTATTGCTCTTCTTTTTTAGCAGCTTCCTGCTGCTGGAGCATGTACCTCCAGCTATGCAACTGAGGCAGCAAAAATATATAAATAACATGTCCAGGAATCAACATATGTACAACAAAAACTGCAACATCAAAACTTCAGGAGGGTGCATCTTTTGCTGCATTGTAATTTGCAGCTGCTCCAAGCTCTTTTTCTTCTCCTTGAGAACCTAAAACATTGCCAATGCAAGCCGATGCAGAACAATGGGCTTACATAAAATGTGACAGAATATGTGTCGATCATATATTAAACCATTAAACATTACTTATATTATATATACAGTACCGTCGATATACCGTAGCTGGTCCAAAGACTAGGCCCAAGCTCAGAACCCCTTCAACTTTGGAGGCATTGTCGTTCAAAAGCTTGCATCTCCTGCAAACTTAATCACCAAATCTTTGCTGACTGTTGCGACGTGGGAATCTTTGAAACCGTCAATATTGAAGTGTGCACAATGCATCCGTCTTGTTGGCAGTCCTGCTGCAAAACTTGTGCGCCCTCTCCACTGACATTTGGATGTAGTATCCAGTGCCCACATCGACTGTAACTTTCTTCCTTGAATAACATACCAAATATCAACGGGCAAAATATGCTTATATAAGTCTGAGCAAAAGGCGTTTCAGTCATGTGGCCGTCAATGTACAAGGAAGATGTCAGCGGTATCTTGGGCAGCTTTGGCATCGGAGCAGTTCAAGCGTTTTCTTACAGACCATTTAACAACTGGAAATTTTCAGTATGTTTAGTTTTACATGTGACAGTTGTGTGTCCATTTTCGTTGTTATTGGCCTTCAAGTGCGGTGTTTGCTTTTGATGGCTGTAAAGCTGTTTCTCAATGGTTTTCTAGCTGGTCGAGAAACAGTTGTTTCTCAATGGTTTTCTAGCTGGTCGAGAAACAGTTGGCTTTTGATCTCAGCCCGACACCAGCATTGGTTTCCCGTTATTCTCTGGGCATAAGGACTTCAGGCTCTCCATGGAGGCCTGAAAACGTGCCTCACCAAGCGTCACAAAATCGAACGAATGTGTTTACACAGCCTACATACATTCAATTTATTTAATTTATGTAATTATATTCCTTTAGACCTTCCAAACCTCTCTTTCTGTATATATTTATGTACTGTATGTTTGTTTTTTTAAAATTTGTTTTCTTCTTTTCTGCCGCTTAGCTTGCTTACTCACGCGTATCCTTCTCTGACTCCTACTTCTACGCTTTCTACCATTGTACATCAAACAAAACAAACATACATTGCACTTGCGGGTGTATGTAAACAATGATTTGATTGACACGTAGTCAGGAAGTTCTCTTTCCACGGGTTCTGTAATTTAAGAATATTTTCTACTTCTGCTGTGGTTTCATCTTGACTCTTGACACTACCCAATCAAAATGAATGCCGCTGACAACTCAACCGGCATGGCTTCGCCTAGAATGACCAAGAATGAACCCTAGTAGGGTGCACTCAGCTCAAGAACTGCATCTGTTAATGCATGTGCAGCATGCAGTGTCACAAATTGTGTGCGTGCGCATGTATGTGTGTATATACTGTATATGTGTATATATATATATGATTATATATGCAGTATATATCAGTGTGCCTCCAACCTCAAGTGCACTTCGACTCCAACCCCAACAAATAAAAGGACCGGATAACGGAGTAGTGAGATGAAACAACACATGATAACCCCACATGATAAGTTTTACAAATTTCAAATGTATATGAACATCACATGGGAGACGGAGTAGTGAGATGAAAAGTCAAGAACGAAGTGTGAGGAGAGACGGTATATGAGGCGGTTGTGCTAAGACGTGTAGTATAAGTGATGATGTGATGGACGAGGATGAGAAGGAGGGGAGGGAGGAGGTGTGTGTGTGTGGTAAGATGGCGTGCGTGTGTGTGTGTGTGTCCAACCCTGGACAAAGGGTCTTCCACCACCACTCTTTCCACTTTACATGAGCAGGGGGGCAAGGCCTCCAGCGACGAACCTTGCCCAACGAAGCTAAGTCGCTGGAGGGGAAGCACTGAGAGACGTCTCAGTGTGTACCTGCTGAACAACTGTTGCACACGCTGTCCACTTTTGCTGTTTGTTTCCATGGTGGTTCATGATACTTCCCCCAAACCATTTTCCTTTCCGCATTGCAGCTGCTGAGCCACCGATCGTCAATCGCACTATGCTGATCTTTCACTGCAGACTTTAACAATGATTGTTGAAACACCTACAAGTTCTTCGGACCTTTCGCCATGCCGTTCCATCACCCTCCTTCTCACCGAGACAATTGCGTTAACTGAAAACCCAAGTTCGAAGTGTGTCCCGCTCAGCCGTCCCACTCGGGTGCTGAGTGTGATCCCCGTCACAGGGGCGCCGACCTTGC